GGAACAGACAGACTTTCAGAGATGCCTCACTAATAAATCACTCTTACCTATCTCACAACGAGATAAGGGGGTGAGCGCATTTGTGGATAGGTTTCTTTTTGTGGATAATCGTTCCATTCAGGATTGGCTCAATGACTTGTTTCGCTGCTACCTCTTTTTATTTGTAGGAGAGATCATATCTCTTTTCGAAAAAAGCTCAAACACCGACAGAAAAACGGACTACCAATGCAATACCATAGCACTCTTACCCTATTCTGACCTTTATTTCCCTTTTATTGATGTCAAATGACCCCCTTTCTATCATCGACAATATATTTCACCTTTAAAGTGGCTTCTATCAAATGGACTCCCATTTGGTCACATTCCTTTACTCACTAAGGCAAATCTTGAGCACATCTATGGATGAAAACGAGCCAGAATTAAATGCCATGAGCTATCAGAAAGGATCGAATACTCATCTTCATTTAAATATTATTGTCATTAATCAAATCGAAGGAGAATTGTACTTCCTCGTATCACAAAAAGTCGATTATGCGGTTCAGGTGGCTCCAAGATAGGAAATCGGATGTCAGTAAACCTGTTTGACCTGTCGACAAAGCCTCAGTTCTGAACGATTTGGTTAATGTAACAAGACGAGATTGAGATTGATCTTAGCTTTGGGCAAAGAAAAATCGGCCACGCTTGTGTAAAAGAGAAGAAGGAGTGGTGCGACCCTTTTTGGACACGACAAAGAACAACTGGATGATAAATTGTTGAGGAGATGATGACCTCAAAGGAAATTTTGAGGGAAATAACGGGTTTTTTACTAAACATCTGCATGGTGATAGGAACCTTACTTGTAAGACGCAAATACGCAGTTCATTCATTCTCTCATTCCAACAACTGCTACCAATCAATTGTAATGGAGCGGAAATAACAATAGATGAACGCCACTGATGTATATCGCAATCTAACGCTGGATGTGCAAATGCACCAAAACTCTCGAAAGACGGAAAAGCAAAGAATGGCATAGCCGAAACCATTTCCCGCTTGGCTGACGAATACACATAAATACAATCACCTTTGTACGCATAGGAAGGCATGAAAATCGCTGTTAACACGACACAAATGCCTTTCCACCATCAGCAATAGTTAATCAACAACTCCAGCATAAATCCTGAAATTACCATAAATTCACGATCCTACTCCGATTCATCCTCTCGCCATATCAATGAGCCATAGATAAAACCAAACTGCTTGAGACCTTCATCGAGCGTAGGAGAGAGAGACAAGACTTCTACCCACCGCTCAATGAAATGCAAGCATTCGGATTTGAGGTCCAAAAAAAGAAACCGAAATGGGGCGGATGAAAAACTAACCCTGTAGCACTGGTCGTGCCCCAAGCTTAACTTTCCGACGACATAAAAGTGAATGCTTGTAATATAAGTTTAAAAATGAAAACATGCAAATAACGATGTAGATGTATATGCACATGTTCATAATGTATACTATATACAAGACGTTGCCAGCACAAGAAAACAGGAACGTGCACAATTAGATGGAAGGCCCGCTCTCCATCACAAAAACTCCAAACAAATTAGGACGTGGAAGGAGGAGTCAAGAGGTTGGTGGGAAAGTGATATTAGAGAGAGGTGGAACAGAGCTGTGTAGAGGCACAAAGGAAACTGCCGTATGGGAAGTGTCAAGATCAAGGCATAGGGGTTTGGTGTCTTCCGCCTCAGGCTCTCCTTTCCCATTAGTACCGGTAGAGACAGGATCCACTCCCTCCACAGCCACCGCATCCTCCCCATACTTGCGTATGAGACGACGCAGGTCTTTGCACTTCTGTGCCATCCTTGCTCGCACCTTCACTGGATTCACTCCGAAGCGTCGGTTAATCTTGGCTTTAGGGAAGAAGGAGGAGAGAAAAAGGGCTGGCTAAGTGACCAAAACAGAATAAGCGGTGAGGGCAACAACTCATATCCTTCTGAATCAGACGGTATAGGTTGCGATATTTGCACAATAAAATGCAGTTACAAGTGGGTTTAAACACAACAGA